ACAAACTTGGAAGAATCTCCTACTCCCAACCAAGGCTAAGATTCAGACCTCATCAGGGAGGGTGTGACTGTGGCCCACTGCAGGGAGAAGTTCACTGAGATGTCTCAGGTCAGAGTTGGTCTGAAGCTAGAGAGATAGGGCTGGAGAGGATGAAGCCACCCACTGTAATACCAGCAAAACTCTCTTTGAGGTGTGCACCACTGTGTCTCCCACACACTGCTGGCAAGGGAGGCACCACTGTGGTGTCAGTGAAATTTACTAGTGAGTAAAGCATAAAAGAACCATTTCTTCTGCCATGTCTTAGAGTATTCTTCCTGTACCCTCTGCTGACAAAGTCTAACATTATACCAGCTGCCAAAAAAGGAAATATTTACAGGAATCAGCTCCAATATCACAAAACAGGGCAAGGAAGGGTACATTTGGAGCTGAGTGGTAATAAATTGATAATTAGAATAGCTAGCAATTAACTTATAGATGATAAAACCTTAAAATATACCATTCATAATAGATAAGTACCAAGGAAGAAAGCAAATAATTGATGTATGAGACTTCTAAAATATTATTAAAATGAAAAAGAATTAAAATAAATGGGTAGATATTACTATGTTCAAGGGTCAATGTTGTCAAGATACAAATTCTCCCCAAATTGAGCTATAGGTTCAGTGCACCAAAGGGGCATGTATGGAAATGTTCTTAGCAGCACTATTTGTGATAGCCCCAAATTGGAGATAATCCAGTGTCTACCAACAGTAGAATGGACATATAAATTGTGAATATTGTTTTATTTTCTGTTTATTCAAAAGCATTTCAAATAAGCATATCTTTAATAATCAGGGAAAATAAAGATTTATATTTTGAAAAACTACATATTAGGGGATTGAAGGGTGTTTAATCTGTGAAAATGAAAAGTGAATAATATGCCAAAAATGTTAAAAATAAAAGTAATCTTTTGTTCTTTATATAACTTTTTCTTTATATCCTTTTGCATTTTCAAATCTTGTATTATAAAATACTTTATTTTGTTAATCAGAAAAAGACATCTAACACCCAAAGTCTGACTACTTACACATAGCAGTAAGGGAAAGCGCTGTGGAATACCAAAGACTTTCTTTAGTTCCTCCCTTGGAGCCGTGAGGCCTGGTAGGACAAACTGGAAAGGGGAGTAGGAGGCACCCAGACATTTAAACCCCAGGCTTCCCACTGGCTCCCCTGAGGAGGTTGCATTTTTTTAAATCAAATTATCAACCAATTAATAGACTTTTTTTCTTTTTTCTTTTTGGTTGTCATTGTTAGGAAAAATTTCTATGGGACAATGGGCTTTTTCTATGGAAAACACCTTGGGGCTGAACTTACCATGGAGAACCCTGAGTTCACATCTGGTTCTCACAGACGACGATGGTAATATTGACTACATGACCTGCTTCCACGATATTCAGATTCAAAAACCTGTGAAAGAGGCAAGTGAAAGACAGCCCCGGCTAAAACCTGGTTATAAACACTCTTTGGGCAACCTGTAAGAGTAACGTGGTCCTTTGAAAAGTTGGGAGTGGAATCATCTAATGGACGTGAGTGGCAATCTTAGGAAAGGCCTAAGAGGGAACTCGAAGGTGCATTGTGGTCTATTCAGGAAATGTGTGCATTCTAATGATAAGCAAAAAAGAGAAAAAGCTTCTGCAAGCAAATCATGTCAAATGTGTGATTCCTCTCTTAAGTGCTGTCCAGCAGAAGCACAGATATGACACCCAGTCTTTCATATAACACTCCCTTTAAAATACTCAGCATATTCCCTATTAAACTGTGAGTGTATAGTCTTACTGACATGACATCTTATACCTTAAGGACTTTTTAAAAATATATTTTTATTGATTTCAGAGAGGAAGGGAGAGGAACAGAGAGATAGAATCATCAACGATGAGAGAGAATCATTGATTGGCTGCTTCCTGCATGCCCCCCACTGGGGATGGAGCCCACAACCCATGCATGTGCCCTGACCGGGAATCGAACTGTGACCTCCTGGTTCATAAGGTGATGCTCAACCACTGGACCATGCTGGCTAAGCACCTTAAGGACTTTTAAAGTTTAGAATCCTTTATTAAAATGGAAATACCCCAGGAAGAGTTGTCAGACCCCCCTTCCCATACTTATTAATTAATGAATCATTAGCAATTAGTTATAACATTGGGCTGAAAGTGAGCTGATGGGAACTAAGACTGGAGTGATTGCAGGGGAAATGAGAGGTTAAGAAGAGAGAGGAAGTAAAAGTGCAGGTGGGAGCCTCAAATACCCACAGGAAGGAGACTTTGGGCCTCACTTATGAGGCAGTTTACTATGGTGACTGAGCTCATAGGCCTTGGTTTCAGGCAGCTGAGATTCAAATCCCACCTACCAGCTATATGAACCTTGGGAAACTTACTTTACCTTTCTGTTCTTTAATCTGTAAAATGGACATAATAGTAGTTCTGTTCCTTAGGGCTGTGTTAAGGACTGAATGAAACAACCCACAGAAAAACTCTCAGTGCAGAGCCTGGCACACCACAAGGTGTTCTCAATATATGTTGGCTATTTTTATTTACTGCTTCCTGATTTACTTTGGCCCTGTCCCTTGGGGAGTGTAGACGGCAGACTGGAAGAGCATGGTCTTCTATCTGATTAAAGAGGGTTGGGCCTCCAAGGAAGGCCTGCCTTTTCAAATGGCTATCTAAATCCCCTACTTTGAATTGGTGATGGTGTTTTATGCTTGTTACGTTTACTAAAATGGATCTGTGTTATTAATTCTGTTTTAACACTTAGAAAATCTTTATTTTAGGCTCAGTCAGCTCTCATTGAAACTCTGTACAGATACCGATCTGACCTGCAAATCATTTTTAATGTCATTGACTCTGATCACTCAGGTAAGGGAACTTTGATTAGTTCACTAGCAGTGAGCAAAGGTTAGTTTGTTTCTCTGAAAACAGAACTCTGTTTTCATCTATTGCATACTTTATCCAAACTTGATTTAACTTTGGGTAGAGGAGAACTCACCTTTAATGCTATTGATATTTTAGTTTGGCTACAGACTGTATTCAAGACTATATGGTCCTATATAGGCCTATGTATCCATTAGTCAGACAAGAATAGCTCCTTTTATAAGTCACCAGCACAGATTAAAAGATAATTCACTGTCCATTTAAACATCATAGTTATTCCTGGCAATAAAAATCATTCCTAGAGTTCTGATTCTATTTTTGGGACTGAGGGCTATGGAAACTCATTTTCTGCTTAGCTTTGATGCCCAATTACTTATTTTCAAACTTTTTTTTGCTTGCAGAAATACTTTATTTTTTTCATTAAATTAATTTGGGGTGACATTGTTTAATAAAATTATATAGGTTTAATGTACAATTTTATGATACATCATCTGTATATTGCATCATGTGCCCACCACCCATATTTTCAAACTTTAAAAAATCATCCAATAATCCTTAACTACAGAGGTTATTGAACACCAAAAAAATTAATGGTCAAAACACAAAAGTAAATTATTGCCTATAAAAAAATGACAGGGCCATTATTTGCAATGCTCTTATTGAATCCCAGCATATCTTTTCCCTCTGCATGTTAGTGAACTTCAAATTGGGACTATTTGATCTGTATGGCTATCATACACCCCTCCCTTCGGTGGGTCTTAAAATGAACACTCACAGCCTTCTCCTATATTCTTTTAGGTCTTATCTCGATGGAAGAATTTCATTCCATGTGGAAACTTTTTTGTAGTCACTACAACCTTCATATCGGTGATTCCCAAGTTGATGAGCTTGCTGAAAGAATGGACTTGAACAAAGATGGAAGCATCGACTTTAATGAGTTCTTAAAAGCTTTCTATGTGATACACCAACTTGACAACTTGAACAGATCAAGCACCCAACTTGCTTAATAAGAAGTAGAGCTTTCCCTCCTTATGAACATAGTCACGAATACAATCTTTTGCAGTACCAGTAGTAGAAAGAAGTAGACCCCAATTTCTGCCATGAGCAGATGTGTAATGTGGGTATTAGAAGTACCTAGTAAGCTATTTTGTTAATGCTAGGTTAAATGTCAGCTCCAGTGGTAGGAATCACACATTTCTAGATAGAAACTGATTTTGAGACTAGTGTTGGTCTCTTTGATGTCCACCTACCAGGAGACCAGAGCAGTTTAGAAACATACTAAAGGAAAGAAACCTATAGAACACAGAAAAAACTACACCATCTGTAAGTGGCCCAGGAATAGGAGGAGGAATACTGAACTACTAACATAATAAAATATTTCCAGCTTTCAACTGTAATCTTCTTTGGTGATACCATAAACCAGTAATTCTTAATTGTTGGGGAACCACCCTTCAGGGTTGGGGGCTATATCAGATTCTCGGGGTAAGCTGTGGGAATGTATTATTTGAAAACATATTATTTTGTTGTTCGTTGGAGATACAAAGTGAATACTTTAAGTTTGAGCCCTGCCTTAAATATGGTTTGACACCTTCATTGGTAATATGAGGCCTTGTGTATGCATACATTGTGAAATTTATTCTGCTATTCTGATGGCATTATCAAACACAATAAGAGATTTCTGTTTAAAGGCAAGTGTATTTTAATTTTTCTCTAAGTTTGAGAACTTCTAGATCTATTAATATGCCAGGGTAGATATATTTCGTACAACACTGCCTGCTATATACACCAAAATAATGGATAAAATATAACAAATATATTTTTAAATGTAAACCGAACTGGTAGGAAAGTAAAAGAAAACCCTATGGAGGAGGAAAAAAGAGCATAATTAAAATCATAGCAATGTTAACATTAGACAGGATAGACTTTAAGGCAAAGAATATCATTAGGCATAAAAAAGGTCATTACTGAATGCTAAAAGGAGTGATTCACCAGGAAGATATAATAATTATAAACATGCATATAATAAAAGCTTTAAAATTTATAATGCAAAAATTGACATAACTACTAGAAGCAATAGAGATTTTGAATATACCTATCAGTAATTGATCATGTAAATAAATTAGTATATAGATTGGACAACACAACTAATCCACCTGATTATGTGTGTGTCTATATGTGTATAAAAATTGATAATGTATTAGACCAGTGATTTTCAATCTTTTTCATCTCATGGCACACATAAACTAATTACTAAAATTCTGAGACACACCAAAAACTATATTTTTGCCAATCTGACAAAAAATAGGTATAATTTTGAATCATTCACACCAGATGGCTGTTATTGTGTTGGCTGTTGTCATTTTTTTTTTATTTGACAATATAAGGGTATTGCATGTTTTAAAAATTCTTGCAGCATGCCAGTTGAAAATCACTGTATTAGACCACTAAAAATATCTCAAATATCAAGCAATCAGTAACAAAGATACTATATTCTCTGATCATAATGCAATGAAATTAGAAACCGTATAAGAAGATAATACTAATGACCAAAAAAGGATATAACAAGCTCTAGCAGAAATTGCTAAAAATACCGTGAATGACTTTATCCCAATAATTTTTTAAAAATTGGAGAATGGATGATTTCCTAGGGGAAAATATAATTTACTAAAGCTGACTCAAGAATGAAAGGAGGATCTGAAGAGACACATAAACAGTAAAGAATGTGATGGCTTTGTAATGTGTCAACTTGAATAGGCTGAATTACATTTCTCAGAATTCCCTTTCTTGTATGTTTCTGGTTAAGGTAGGCCATGAGGGAGATTTTTGAGAGAGATGGAAGACAAAGGGAAGCACAGTCATTGTGTAGCTCCTACACAGTGTTGTTGAGCTGCTGATGCACCTTATTGGTGTGAAGCCCAGCCACGCCTGCATCACTCTACATTCCCTTGGATCCTGTCAGCTTCTCTGACTCCTGGGCCAGGTGTGTGTGTTCAGTTCTGTGACAAAGCCCTGGCTTCTGCAGAATGACCTGTTCACCAAGGCCATAGGTGATAAGAATGGACTGTGGCATCAGTCCATACTCGTGGGGTGCCAGTTAGAGCCTGCTTCAGATCTTCCCTCCTGACTACCTGCCCTGTGGGCTGCAAGGTCCAGCATCAGGTATGGTGTCTACAATCTGACAGAGCCTGCTTAGCAAGCTTCCACATTTGCATAAGTTACTTCTCCTAGTTCAGTGGTCGGTGAACTGCAGCTTGCGAGCCACATGCAGCTCTTTGGCCTCTTGTGTGTGGCTCTTCCACAAAATACCACGTGCGCACGCACATGTACAGTGCGATTGAAACTTCGTGGCCCATGCGCAGAAGTCGGTATTTTGTGGAAGAGCAACACTCAAGGGGCCAAAGAGCCGCATGTGGCTCACAAGCCGCCGTTTGCTGACCACTATAGTGAATGGATGAATGGAGAGTGTGTGTGTGTGTGTGTGTGTGTGTGTCCATGACCTATGGGTTTGGCCTCTGCTTTACCCTGATTGATACAGAATTTGGTGCTGAGAGTGGTTCTGGAAGAACAGAAGCTGAAAGATGAGTGCTCTGCATGCATACAACCTGATGTGCACAGAGCTGCCCCACTATCTCACATGAGAATCCACTGATAATCCCAGGAGAGTGGTTTTAAAAAATGTCCAATCTCTGGCAATACCGGTTGGCCTTTTGTTATTGCTTCCTAAACATCATCTGGTTATTGATTCTCAGGTTATTTCTGGAATTCTTATTTTCTCCCTTGGGCTTCTAATACCTGGAATTAATTATCTGCCTTTATTGGAAATTTTACCTAAAAATGTACTTTGATTTTACCAAAGATTGCTATTTAATGTTGTAAAACTTCCACCTGACATGAGCTATGCTTAACCACAACTCAATTTTACTATATATATCCTACATAATAAAAGGCTAATATGCAAATCAACCAGAGGAACGACTGGTCGCTATGACACACACTGACCACCAGGGGGCAGACGCTCAATGCAGGAACTGCCCCCTGGTGGTCAGTGCACTCCTACAGGGGAAGTGCTGCTCAGCCAGAAGCCGGGCTCAAGGCTGGTGAGTGCAGTGGTGGTGGCAGGAGCCTCTCCTGCCTCCGTGGCAGCGCTAAGGACCACTTGGGGGTCTGGACTGCGGACTGTGAGTTGGCACAGGCCGGGCTGAGGACCCCCCACCCCCCGTGCACGAATGTCGTGTACCGGGCCTCTAGTGTGTATATGTGTGTATATATATATATATATATATATACACACACACACACACACACGCACACACATATACAGGTGTGGGCAAAGGTGGGTTTACAGTTGTGAGTACATAAAAAACAGTTTATTCTTATATTACTATTTATTATTGTATTATTTTCCATACTAATAACTGTAAACCTACTTTTGCCCAAACCTCTGTGTGTGTATGTGTTTATAGAGAGTTGTGAAATATCTCACTTTTAATTTATATTTCTTTATTACAAGTGAGATTGAGCATCTTATTAGTTTGTTGGTCAGTCTATTTTCCAAGAAAGTCTTTTTCTTATCCTTTGCTTATTATAATACTGCAGCTGTTTGCCCTTTTCTTACTAATTTTTAGGAACTTTAAAGTTCTTGATGCTGACCCACTGTTCTTTATTTGGGAAGCAGATATCTTCTCCCAGTGTGTGACTTGATTTTTCACTTTCTTTCTGACATATATTTTCAAGCAAAGTTTTGAATTTTTGTTTATAATTCGTAATTTTTGAATCTTACCAAAACCCAAAAATGTCCTTTCCAACCATGGAAATATCATTAAGGTACAGTTGATCCTTATTATTCACAGATTTTATATTTGCAACTTACTCGCTAAAATTTATTTATAAATGAAAATACTTATGGTGACTATGTGCAAAGTAGTGGACACTTTGAGTCACATATGTTTCCAGCTGAGGTCGAACAAAGTGACAGTCTGCCTTCTTCCAGCTCTCTTGCTGTAAACAAGTGTCCTGACAGTCTATTTAGTGCCACATGAGATTTTTTTTGTTTTTTTATTTTTATTTTTGTGTTATTTTGTTAGCGATTTTGCTGTTTATAGTGGCTCCCAGTTGTAGTGTTGAAGTGCTGTCTAGTGTTCCTAAATGCAAGAAAGTGGTGAGGTATCTTATGGAGAAAATTACTTCATTCAGACATGAGTTACAGTGTTGCTAGCCATGAGTTCAGTGTTAACCAACAATATATATTAAACGAGGTGTTTTTCAACAGAAACACACATTAAACAAAGTTATGTTGCTGATTGAGTGACATAAATGTTGTTATCAGAGGCTCACAGTGACCAAAGGAACAATTGTTTCCCTAGGAACAATTTGCAAATTCAGTGGTCACAGTGATTATATAGAATATAACTATTGTAAATAACGAGAATCTACTATCCTAGGTGTGTCAACTAATAATGCGGATTTTGTAATCAAAGAAAACACAAGCATTTCAAGAGAAACATCTAAAGTGCTTTATTCAAAGTAATGTCCATCGCTAGCTACACATTTCCCCCATCTTTCAGATAATTTGTGAATACCATCGCAATAGAACTTTTCTTGTTTTGAGGCAAACCATTTAGAGACCCAATTTTCCACTTTTTCATACGTTTTGAAGTGCTGCTCAGAAAGTGTGTGCCATCGATCGGAACAAGTGGTAATCTGAAGGACCAAGGTCTGGTGAATACAGCGGGTAGGTTAATACTTCCCAGGCAAGATCTTTTAACGTGTCTTTAACTAGTTTTGAAGTGTGTGATGGTGCGTTATCATGAAGCAAAATTACTTTGCCATGTCTTCTGGCACATTCTGGTCATTTCACGATCAAAGCGTGGTTCAAATTGATTATTGGTTTCCCGTAATGATCAGTATGAATGGTTTCACCTGGTTTTAGAAGTTCATAATGCACCACACCTTCCTGAGCCCACCAAAGGCAGAGCATTGTCTTCTTTCCGAAGCGATTTGGCCTTGCAGTCCATGTTGATGGTTGACCTGGATCAACCCATGATTTTGTGCATTTGGGATTCTCAAAATAAATCCACTTTTCATCGCCAGTCACAATTCAATGCAAAAAACTTTCTTTTGTGCCGTTGAAGCAGCATTTTACTGATGACTTTTTAGTTTTCCACTTGTCTTTCATTCAGTTGATGTGGCACCCATTTCCTTCCTTTAAAATCTTTCATATTGCCTGGAAATGGTTGGAAATTGTTTGCTGAGCAACATTTAATCTTTCTGCAAGTTGTTTTTGAGTTTGACATGCATTTTCATCCAATAATGCTTGTAATTGTTGGTCTTCAAACTTTTTTGGTTGACCTGGACATTCTTTGTCTTTCACATTGAAATCATTACTTTT